GGCCTCGCTGCAGGGCCGGTCCCCGGGGGCCCTTCGCTGCTCCCGAGCTGCCGCGTAGAGGTCAGGACGCGCGGTACCTGCCGGGGGGTTCTACCTGTGCTGGTTGGTCCAGGCAGTGCCCAGGGGCCTTTGTAGCCGTGTCTGCTGCCTCCTTTACGCCCTTTCCCCCTGCAGAGCTCCTTTGCTCGCTGTTAGGCTCGTGTGCCCTCGCTGGGTTTCTGGTGAATGCTGCTGCTGTAAACCCCTCTCAGTTTGCTCCTGTGACTACAGGAGCCTCGGTAGCCTTTAACTGTTAACATTCCCAGTAAGAATTCCACTAAAGCTGTAAAGCCTCACTCAAGAAATAGCAGCGAGTATTCGACACTGTTCAGCACGTTAGAGAAGAGCCATACAGGAGAAAAAACGGTCACGGGATGCACCGGAGCAGAAGCAAAGCTGATTACAACGGGTTGTTGGGTTTTGTGGCGCTTTTTTTTTTTCCCTGTAGAGTGTTTTTGGATGTGAAGGATGGACTTCTCGGTGATTGCTGTTGGAGATATACAAAATGTGCTCTCATCTATGCAGAAGAACTTGGAGTGCCCAATATGGTATGCCAGGAGAATGATGTATATTCTATATTAGTAGAGTTATTGAGTCTTCTACTTTTCTCTCTCAGTGTCTTTTCAAATGCTTTGTCAGTTCTATGGGTTATCAGAAAGCAAAAATAATTGTATTTTAAAGCTAAGTATATTGTAAGACTCAAATGAGAAAGTGCAAAAGAACTTGTCTTTGGCTCTTATGTTCTAGTGAGTTTTGCTTGTCTATTACAACCTAAACGTATCAGTCCTCTGTTCAGTCAGGGGAAAAACGTAGCTGATTGGTTTAGAGTAATGTTTGTAAGCAGCCTGGTTCTTCACCCTTTCTCCCTAAAAGGTAAATGTGTCCTACTTCTATTCCCCAACAAGATTTTTTAATTATTTTTTAACTTCATAAAGTGACTGTATTTCTGAACCTTATTTTGTTGCTCCTATTTTACATGTAACTTCTGTGTTCTTGTTTTCCTTAATTTTTCTTTTTGTAGCTTGGATGTGATAAAAGAGCCAGTTTCAACAAAATGTGATCACATATTCTGCAGGTGTGTTTGAAAACTTATAGTTGCAATGCTTAGTCAATCTGTTCTTATTCTCCATGTAAACTTCTTCTCTTTAGTGCTAATGTTGTTTACTGTGTTTTGATAATTTAATGTGTAGCTATTTTAGGGGGAAAGTCAATTCTGAATGAGAGAGAGCTGCAGATTCAGAGATGTGTCAAAGGTGATTGATTCATTCATCATAACACCAGAACAAGAATGCAGGCATTCAACTTGTAATGAAAGGTTTCTGCTAAGTGGTGCAGGCCTAGGCTTTGCTTTAAAGAAAATAAAATCCTCCCTTTTATTACCGTCGTGATTATTCTTTTTTTCCCTAGGTTCTGCATGTTCAAACTCCTCAGCAAAAAGAAAAAAGGTGTGATACAGTGTCCCCTGTGTAAGACTGAAGTTACCCAGAGGTAATGCATCTTTGCAAGGGACTTGAGGATGAGAAGTTTGAACTCTAAGGAAAAGTTATGTCTTAGCAGAAGACTGAAATACATAAGAAAAGGTGGTGAAGTAAACTGCCAGTTTGTAAGGGAGTAACTTTAGTGTCTTACTTCAATATAAGCTTTTTTGAAGTGATCTCAGATGAAGACACTATTCTTAGTAACTGTATTGTTCAATCTCTTACATTTCCAGGTTGTGATAGCTTTCATTCCTGTAGTAGTGGTTGCTTGGTGAAACTGTGTTGTTATTCCTTGGCAACAATTTCTCACTGTTTCATCTTCCACTTTGGAGTTTTACTCCTTCTTTGTTCAACCTGAATTCTAGGATAACTATTAATAGTTGACCCGTACATTTGTCTTAAAACAACTCATGTGGTGATGTTATTTCAGGAGTCTGAAAGAAAATTCCAGGTTTAAGCAACTAATTGAAGGATTGTTGGAAACCATCCATGCGTTTGAGCTTGACACTGGATTAAAGTGTAAGTGTTGTGAATGTATACTCCTCACTTTTTAAAAATAAGATTCTGACATTTGCATTGTAATATTTGAAGGGCATCTCATCTACCGTGCAGTATTCAGTGTGGGAAGAATTATCAAAAGCTTTTTTCTTGGATGTGGAAGCAGAAGTTCCCTGAAGTTCCCAAGGTTTTTCTACAGCAGCCTCTTGAGCAGTCTGAAGGTTTTTTACTGTGTATTTGATGACTCAACCAATCTTACTTTCAGTTCCTGAAATATGACTCAATGTGCATCAAATAATCTTTAATCTGTAATTGTGTAGCAAAGTCCTGTTCTTGATTATGCCCAAACTTGCAGCTTTAACTTCTTAGACAGTCTTTAACCCTGAATTGGCAAGTGCTATAACAGGATATGTTAACTCGTCCCATTCAGATATATCCTGTTGGAATCCAAATTTATCCTTTCTAGTACTCAGTTCCTTGTAGAAGGTATTGACAAGTCAGATACATGCTTGTTTATATTTTGGGAAGTAAGATGTTCGGGGCAATGCTGGTTTGTGGGATTTAGTTTGGGTTGTTTTTTTCCCCCTCTATAAAAACTAGACTTTCCTAGCAACTTGGGTTGCTTTCCTGTCAAATTCTGTTCAGTCATTCTAAAATCACTAGTATTAGATCCTGTTCTTGTTAGATTATCCATATAAGCAAAATTGGTTGGGAAAAGTAGTTGTCAAGATCAAGATTTTACTTAATACTTGAAGATCACTCATAAAGAACATTCAGACTAATAATTCAGTCAGATTTCTTTCTTTGATAATTGTATTTTAGCTGTATGTGTGCCAGTTGCATAGGATCCAAGCAAGGTTATTTTATTAATATATGATGCCTGTTGTCATGCTCCATGTAAGAAAATATTTTTTGTTTTTTTTCCTATTGACATTTTTTCAGTTTTACACAGTCATCACTTTCCTAAAACACCCACAGAAGCCACTGCTGCTGAGTTCCCGTGTACAGGAAGTTCTGTCATCCAAAGTAAGGGCTTCAGAAACAGGGAGAAAAGTGCTAAAGAAAATGGACAAGAAAACTGCACCTTGGTATTTTTTTCCCCAATTTATTTTTGTGGATTGTTTAGTGTTTTATTTGGAATGTCTATACATGCATATACATAAATGAATGGAATAGGAGATTTTGGGTTGCTTTCAGATCACTGTTTGACTTTAATATAATTTCAGACAAGGACATCCAAATATTTTTGTCTTCCCAAACTACTTACAAAGTTGTTTGCATAAAATGACCTGAACTCAAAGATAATATTGCCATAATCTTCCGGGGAGATCTTATAGCGGCCTCCCAGTACCTGAAGGGGCTACAAGAAAGCTGGGGAGGGACTTTTCATAAGGGCAGTTAATGACAGAACAAGGGGAAATGGGTTTAAGCTGAAAGAGGGGAGGTTTAGATTAGATATTAGGAAGAAGTTCTTCACTGTGAGGGTGGTCAGACACTGGAACAGGTTGCCCAAGGAAGTTGTGGCTGCTCCTCCCTGGAAGTGTTTGTGGCCAGGCTGGATGAGGCTTTGAGCAACCTGGTCTAGTGGAAGGTGTCCCTGCTGCTGGCAGGGGGGTTGGGACTGGATGATCTTTAAGGTCCCTTCCAACCCAAACCATTCTATGATTCTATGAATATATTCTGTTACTGAAAGTAAGATTGAAAGCTTTTTTTTGTGCTGCTTATTTAATGAGCCTAACTACTGGCAGGCTTTTTATTTTCTTAATGGTAAGACCATGAGCAGGATGATTGCTGTGTAGGATCATCATCCCAACGTAGGATGATTGCTGTGTGTATGAGTTTGTTCATGGTACGCTGTTTCTTGTCTCATCTGCTCAATACTGAATATAATATTAAGTAAGATAAAACATATTTGAGCTGTTAAATGTATGATAATTGTTTCTATTAATATGTTCCATTACTGATATCATTATGATAAATCATGTGTATTGGATTTTTGTATAGAGGCTGCCAATTTAAATACTGAGTTCATATGCATCAGCCCACCCCCACTGTAGTTTAAATAATTAATACTTCTTTTTTTTTTTTAATAGCCTACTGTTATAAATAACTATTCCTTTCTATCCTTCTGTCAGCAGGACGCTAATGGGAATATACAGCTTACAGATACCAGGGTAAAAAGGTGTCCTGTAAAAAACAAAACCCAGAAATGCGACTCTGAAAAAGGGATTTATATAGAGTTTGGTAAGAACTGCTGTAGATTCACACTAGTTGAACTTCTGTTTTATGATTGCAAAGTAACAAAAGGTGATGAAGTTAAAAGTTTTTATCAACACTAATTTCTCCTTAACGCCCAAAATAAGAACAAAAGGAGAAATTATGGATGATTCACAGTTGGTAAATTAAAGAGGTTTTTTTACATAGTTTCTTATATTGTAGGAAATAATGCTGCTGTAGTAAACCTTTAAGGCTCAGTGTGCAGGATCCAAAGAGAAGATGCTTACAGTAGCTCTCTGTTACCAGTCACTTTAAACACAATTTTATACTGGAAACATGTAGATATTTATACATAAAAATCAGTATAATTAAGTAAAATACTGCACAACTGAACTTGATTTCATCTGATAAAAAGCATCTACCTCTAGAAAGAACTAAGCACGCATGCTTCTGTGATAAAAATCACTGAATCTGGCAAGTCATCTTTTTCTGGATCATTTCAACCACAGTAACAGATTATTTGTTTTTAGGCTCTGATTCATCTGAAGAGCTTTTTAAACAGGCAAGCAATACTGGGTAAGTAAAAGTGACTAAGGTAAGGAATTAATATTTTCTAAAGATAATAGTTAAGTATTCTCATGCCTGCATTTTAGTTTCTTACCATAGGACTGATAGAACTCTTCAAGCTGACAAGCTATCTTTCAACTTTGAGGGCACCAGGGTAGAATGGGTGGCTGGCTCCCATCGGTTTGTCATATAACATGCTTTAAAGCCATTTTCTAGATGTTTTGATGCTTGCATAGGCATTAGACCTTCAAGAGAAAAGCATGTACTATGCTTTAGAAAGTAAATGTTAAATTCAGGAATGTGGGAATGGATGTCTTAAAGAAATGACCTGAAACTCTGAAGGGATTCTAGTTGTGGTGAGTCATGCAGCCTGACTTCTTCAAAAACTATTTCAGAGAGCAAAAAGGAAAAATTAGGTATCATCCTCTGTTCTGTCTGTTGTGGTTTTCTCCATAATGAAGGTAGATTTCCCTTCCCAACAGATTAGAAGACAGAGAAGCACTTCAGATTTTGTCTCCAGAAAAGCCGGAAGAACTTCAGAGTGCTGAGAAGGGAAATGAATATTCTTGCAATACACAACCTGACAAGCTGGGTGCTGAAGAAATAATTCTGCCAAATGTCATAGGTGTGTTTGTTATTTTGATGACAAAAATGATGAAGCTTGAAAGAAAGGCCACAAGTTAAGATTTTGATTCCACATGATTAAATATATATACTTGCAGTCTTGTATGTTGTAGTTTTGTTGACACCTACAGCCAGTGATAGTATAATACCAGACTGTACCTGTAGACTAGTTACTTAATATATAGATATTCTGTCCACAGGAACAGAAGGCAGAAAAAGTAACTTGATCAAAGTGCAAAACTTATTCTATCTTACGTAAGCCGTATTATCCCTTACAATACAAGCTCAGAGCACTATCTGGTAATTCATGTAAGAATTTGGATGAACACGTCATGTAATTTGACCTTTCTCCCTTTCTCTAGAAGGAGATTTGTGCAGCGTAATATTCTGTTTTGGGGGGAAATAAGAACAGTTCTTTTAAAACAAAGTAGCCATTGTTGTTTTTAAGCTTGTTGTTGCTTTTGTGCATGTAAAATAGGGCTTAATAATTTATAATACCTATAAATCTTCAGGTGAAAGTGATTTCTCGAAGAAAGGCTTAAGCAAGAAGAGCACTCAGAGCATCACTGAATATGCCAAACCTGACCAAATGGATGTGACTGAATACCAGAGTTCTCCTTTAAATTTTCTTTCTGAAGACCTACTCACCGAGCAGAGTGACAGAATAGGTAATGCCAGTCCTGTAAGGAATGGGGTCACATCTTTTTTCAAGAGTGCAGAAGAAATGGATGCAGAGCAAACTCAGTGCAATAGCAAAAGCAAAGTGTTTGACTTTAAAGATAGCTCAGAGAGCAAGTTGGATAAAACCAAGGAAATAAATACTGTTGTACAAAGTGTGGAAATGTATGAACCTGAGAATGATTCTTTCCATGAAGAACTTCCTCAGGAGAAATTACTTCAGCCAGAGACACTTCACTGTGCTACCCCGAATCAAGTTTCTAGAAAGAAACTGAAGCGAAGCATTCAGAAAGTCAATGAATGGTTTTCAAAAAGCAATGAGATTCTGTCTTCCAGTTCTTCCCAGGATGATTCTGCTGGAGCAATTTTTGTTTCAGGTGAAGGAGGTACATCTTCATCTGATAAAGATTCCTGTATTTCAGAAAAGACTGACCCTATGGTAGATTCCATGGAAATTAGAGTGATTGAAGGAAACAAGAGATGGTCAAAACAAACAGCAGATAGCATCAAAGACAAAATATTTGGGAAAACATACAAAAGAGAGAGGAAGTCAAATCCCCCTATTATCCTGAGAGACATTTTACCTGCTCCAGAAAAGGAAGATGCTGATAAGAAGTGCTTGAATAATTCCAGCAAAGATGGACTAAAACGAAAAAGGAAGACTGCCCGTGTCCTGCAACCTGAGGATTTCATCAAGAAAAAAGATACAGAAGAGGCAGATGGGTGCCCTCAGAATGTTAACTGGTGTCTTAGAGATGCTGAAGATAAAAGATATGATGAAAGTTCTGCTGTTAATGAGAGTCATCTCTCTGAGAACAGAGAGGATAATACACTTGCAGAACTTGAGGGAGGAGGAAGATCCATATGGAAAAAGGCTACTGAAAAGGTGACTGGCAAGCACTGTGATGGGGAGCTAGAACTGAATAACTGTGATCAGAAAAGCACTAAAAAAAGATCTGCTGCAAAAAGATGCAGGCGTTCCACTAGAGCCATGTGTGCTCTACAGTTCGTGGATAGAAACTCTATCTCCCCTGATCCAGCTGAGCCACAGATTGATAGCTATCCAAGCAGTGAAGAACCAAGGAAAGCTGCTTCTGAGCAAAGACAAGTCAGACGCAGCAGGAGGCTTCAGTTACTTGCTGAAGACATGACAAAAGACACAGGAAAAGGTGTAGTAATTAAGGGAGCAAGAAAGTGTGACAGTGATCATGAAGAGTCTCTCTTTGGAGTCCAAAGGAATGTGTTAGTTCACACTTCTGAATGCAAAGACCTGTGTGAGCCCCAGGGTATGTTGAGTTGCAAGCCACTTGCTAATCTAAAGGATGGTGACCTGGAAGCAAATGAAATGCAGATTAGTCCAAAGAATTCATCTGACACTGCAGAAACTGGAAAAAGTCCCTTCAATCCCACATCTTCATGTCAGCATTTAAGTTGTAGTTCCTTTTCCCCTGATGCAAGTTCTCAAGAAGGTGAAATACTAGCTAGCCCTTTCTTCCTACAGTCTCCTTCAGTGACTGTTGTGCCAACTACTTCCCACCTGACTGCAGAGATGACTGAATCATGTACTGCTTTTCCCCAGGATAGTGGACACGATACACAAAATGTTCCAGGGGACTTCAGAACTGAAAACTTGCCAATGGCTAAAAATGCTTCAGAATTGAGCAAGGAAGCTGAAGATAGTGAGTTAGACACACAGTATCTCCGAAACATATTTAGGCATTCAAAACGCCTATCCTTTAGCCTTTTTCCTCCTTCCACAAAGGCACGTGCAGGAGAAGATGCTGCTTCTGAAACTTTAAAGATATCATGTGCTGACGAGGTAGAAAATAAGCACAGCAAATATTTAAAACCAGAAAACTTACAAGAAGAGAAAACAACTGCTGAGAGCTTGAGTAGGGTTTGTGAGAAAGAGAAGCTTCTGACTCACGAATCTGCTTGTGTTAGTCCTGTGACTCGCTTTGTTGGCAACACTGAATGTATGCACACAGGGGAGCATCAAGAAGATGTTTCACAGGTTGCAAATCAAGGGAATCTGACACCAATAAGAATGGATACTGCTAGGACTGAAGACAAAAACAGATTGCAGAAAGGAAAGCAGGGGACAGAAAAGACGGTGTCAACTGACATAGGGATAGAAAGTGAGTTGAGACAGAATCCAGTCAAAAGTAATACACGCCAAAGTCATCAGAGTGATACAGAAGAGCATGTTTTCAAAAGAACTGAATTAAACAGAGTTGAAGTATGCTTCAGTTCAGAAAGCAATCAAGCAGGAAAGGCCGAAGTTGTTGATGGCAAAGGACCAATACTACATTTTCAGTCCAGATCAATGATTTGTCCTACAACTTGTCAGCAAAGGGCTGCTGAATTCAGCTGTGAAGTCACTGGGAAAAAAAGTGCCAAAAGAAAACGAGTAAAGGGGAAGGAAGAGCAAGCAACCCAAACTGCTAGCACAGGGATGCCTGAGTGTTTAGTTACAGAAGCCATAGAAGAACCTCTTAAAGGGAATAGTGATTTGACAGGTTTGTCTGAAACCCCTGATGGCTTATTGTGCTCTGATGATGATATTGAAGAGAACACCAGCTTTTCTGAAACTGATAGGAGAGAGAGGTCTGCTGTGTTTGTAAGAAGTGACAATGCCCTGGTAAAAGAACAACACAATAGCAATATTAGTTCTAAGCCAGGCTCTCAGGGTATTCAAAGATCTCGAAGAAAAGCGCAGAAACTGCAATCTTCAGATGAAGAATCTAGTGAAGATGAAGATTTACCATGTTTTCAGACGTTAATATTTGGCAAATCAGTAAGCACACCTTTGCAGATCAATAAACAAGTGACATCTGTGATAGAGTCTTCAGTAACTCCCATCACTTTGCCTCACAGTGGGAGTCATGATGACAATAATATGCAGAAAATGCCTGAAGCTTCCCTAAGTAATGGGTGTGTTTCACCAAGTCAGGAGTCAGAATGCTCTGTCAACTTATTTTCTTCCCAGTCCAATGTGTCTGAAGAATCAGTTGACGGAGCACAAGAGCTGAAGAAATCTTTAATACAAGTTCATAGATCCAAACAAGTGAGCAATGTAATTGAGACTAAAGAGACTTTTCAAAGTTCTAATGGAGGGCTGAAGAGATGCAAAGCTAACTTCAAAGATGAATCCCAAGAAGACCCAAACACAGGAGCAAACCTAGGTACAAACCAAGATTTTTATCACTGCAGCTGTGTTTGTAATGTCATCACACCTGGGTTTTTGGTGTTCACATGGGAACTTTGTTCTGTATTTATGTGGTGCTTGCTCTTTTAAAGGAATGTATCAGCCCTAAACAAACAAAAAGCCCTCAATGGTTTATTTCCTGAAAACTAAGGTCTCCCAGTATTCTTTGTTCAGAGTAAAAATTAATAGACTGGGCACTAGAGGCCAAACTGAATCTGTCTGTCTGGGAATTAATTTTTGAGTGAAATGCTAGCTTTCTTACTGCCATGTGATATTTACATCCATCAGCAGAATTTCATAAAGCCTACCTAAGCTGTTTTTGCAGATGAAACATACGTTGAAATGTGGCTGTAGAATTCTGTAGTGCTTATTTTTCCTTTTGTATGGCTTTCATAAATATTTAGCCCTCTTTCATCACCATTGAAGCACTTTGAGTTCTGTTTACTTTGCCATATGTGAGACATAGCATTCTTTGAAATGTTCACCTATAGTCGATTTGTACTTCTAACGTAAGTGTTTTCAAAACTTGTCACTGTATCATTATAGTTAACAGTTGGCTAAAAGGTCTGTGTGGTAGGAGATAACGGATAGTGTTTGTTGGTTTGGTTTTTTTCTTTAACTGACTCAGATTTTCTTCAACCTTCTTCAAGGTGAAGCATCTGGATATGACAGTGAAACAAGTGTTGTAGAAGATTCATGTGGACCATTCTCTCAGGGTGAAATCCTTACTACACAGGTAAGAGTGTTTATGCATTAAGTTCTAAAAGTGGTTTGCATTCCAGGTTATAAGCAAGCACATGAAAGCTGTGAAGTCTGAAGGGGGCCTACGAGAAAGCTGGGGAAGGACTTTTCATAAGGGCAACTAATGACAAAACAAGGGGAAATGGCTTTAAACTGAAAGATGGGAGGTTTAGATGAGATATTAGGAAGAAGTTCTTCACTGTGAGGGTGGTGAGACACTGGCCCAGGTTGGCCAGAGAAGCTGTGGCTGCTCCTCCCTGGAAGTGTTGAAGGCCAGGTTGGATGAGGCTTTGAGCAACCTGGTCTAGTGGAAGGTGTCCCTGCTGATGGCAGGGAGGTTGGAACTGGATGATCTTTAAGGTCCCTTCCAACCCAAACCCTTCTGTGGTTCTAAGTCAGTGTAGTGGGGAATTGCTTTCATCATAATTTTTTGTGTTGCTAGACTACTTCCAGGAGTGTAATTTGTGCTTTATGGGTGGTTCTTCTGTTTACTGCATCAGTGCAAAATGTGGTCAGCTGGCAGGACGCTGCTCCCTGATGTTGCTTCATTGATAGAGATTCTGGGATAAGCCTGGGTTGAATGGAATGGTGGCAGGAGGGATTGATGGGCAGTTTTTTGGTTTGTTGTGTGGTAGGGGTTTTCTATTTGGTTGGGGTTTTTTTGTTGATTCAGTAACAAGGCAGTTCCACATGGTGCCAGTGCTAGGGCTACAAATGCAGTATTTGATGCTTTGAAAACTGCTTTATCCCGTGTGGTGAAGGCTTTGGGTTTTTAAAAGGATCCTTTGAAGCCCTGAGCTCTTACAAGGAGGTATATATGGCATATTTTTAGTAGAGGGTGTTGTATTTTTTGAGAGAGAAAGTAAGGAAGAGTAGGATTAAATATTTCATTCATTTTAAACAGTCTTTCAGGCTTTCAGTAATGGTAGAAAGTGCAGAGGCTCAAAACTTGATGTTTATTATTAAATTTTAAATTAAATGGCTAATGCAGTTGGGGCAAAGTTATTTTTAAAAAAATCTGTGCATAAGGTTTTGATTTGTTTTTTTCCTGACTGATTAAACTCTGGTGAGCCAGCTAAACTGAGATAATTTTAACAGCAAAATGACTGTGTGGATATGGGGTTTGGAGGTTTTTTGGGGTATGTGGTGGTTTGGGTTTTTTGTTTGGTTGGTTTTTGGGTGGATGTTCTGGTGGTTTGTTTGGTTTAGTTTTTTGGTTTGGTTTGTTTTCAATGTAGCCTCTGTGCATTATTATTTACAGTAAAACCACCACAGTCACCTTCTGAACACATGCTAAAAACTAATTAAAAATAATGTTACTGTTTCTAATTTTCAAGTGTTTGTTAAGGAAATCAATCCTACTGTTTAAAAGTGATTTTGCTAATCTTGGCACGATTGTGTGTCCTTTGCAGCAGAAGAATGCTATGCAAAATAACCTCAAAAAACTTCAACAAGAAATGGCTGTACTTGAAGCAATGCTAAAGCAGCATGGAAGTCAGGACCCTGAACTTATACCTATCCATAGGAAACTGCCACACTCTAGTAGTGAAGAAACACTTGGAATGGAACAAATTAGTCAGGAAAGAGGTAAATAGCAGTGAAAACCTTTCCCAGCTTTCTTACAAACACTTGTGTTTTTTACATACCTGCAAGATACAACTTCTTGTAAATCAAGGATTTTAACTTATATATTCCTGGTCAATTTAAAAAGATGTTACTTCTTATTTGGTGTGTTTTGGTTTTTAGCCCAACTGTGTAGCTGCCCATCAGGATGGGGTTGGACAACATTTTGACAGTAATGGGAGTTATTATCTGTCTCTCATATAAATTGGTACTTTTTGACAGATGTGCTACTAAAAGTTTTAGAGGTGTTCTAGCATCTCAGCTATAAATCAGGAAAAGGTAATGATAGAGGCAAAGGTGAAGTAATAAACAAATAAGGAGAGGAAGTGACTGCAGCATTTAAACTTGAAAGGCAGAGCAACAGCTTTCCACTATGCCTACAAGAAGGATGAAGTTGTTTCAAGGAGTAATTTCTCTTTTCCTCCAGAAAACACAGATGAGCAGAAATCTGGGACTGAGCTAAACAGTACTTCTGTCTTACCAAATCTCTCTGGAAATGTGACAAGGAGTCCAAATAACTCTTCTTCCTCTGTAAGGCTTCTTAACCCTCAGATGGCAGAAGCAACAGATAGTTCTGTGGTAGCTCTGAATGCCAATAGAAGCAGTACTCAAGAACGTACATCGAAGAGAAGTGCGTGTTTTCCTACATCTGTTCTGCACAATGCAGCTGGGAAAGAAAATTCTACAAGTCCAGCTGTGACTAACAGGAAAGAAATGTCAATTGTGGCATCAGGGCTGAGTCAAAGTGAACATGTAAGTATATTTCAACAGTTTTAGAGATCACTTGTTAATTGTTCCTGATTACCACTATAGTCCTTGACACAGAGAGATCTAAGTATAACGGAAACTAATCTTGCAGAAATTACAGATGAATAATACAGCAACTCAGGTCAAAGCTTTTCACTCCGAAAAATAGGAAGAATGTTGCCTGTACACAGCACTATTAAGCTTAGTGAGAATGACTGAAGTTTGAACTTTTTAAATGACTGCCTACTGCCTAAGGGAAAAATACATTATTCCAAAGCAAGAGGGCTTTATTCCTAGAAAGCCTTGGGGCTTGGAGGGGAGGGGGCTGGTTGGTTGGTTGGTTCCATTAGTATTCTCAGATGATGCTGCTTTACCCAAATTCTAATCCATAGTGAGGATTTCTGTAATTAAATTCTAAATTGCTAATAAATGTGTTTGTACAATCAATTTCCAGGATGATATGACTTCTAGTTTATAAACTACTGACCAAGAATTCTTCTTTACTTTAGCCTGTTGAATAGTGTCAAAATTATTGACATATAAGGAAATGTACATTCTGTGTGCCAACACAAATAAAACCATTACTTCATTTAAAGTAACTATCTTACTATGTTGTAATCCTATAAACTGAAATTGTTGGGGTTTTTTTAATCTGTTTTGTTAGCTATTAATTTTCTTAACTACTTTTTCAGTTGATGGTCCAGAAGTTTGCAAGAAAAACTCAGAGCACTTTGTCTCATCACATTACTGAAGGAACAACCCATGTCATAATGAAAACAGGTTTGTTGGAAGCTCTATGAACAAATTCTATAGTTACACACCATATAGTATTTTAACTCTAGGCTAACCAACAAGCAGATAGTTCAGCAATAAATCTGAATAAGCTTGAGGAGAAGGTATTAATTGTTTTCTTCTCTATCATGTTTTTTTTTAAACTTGGGAATTTTTCATACTCTATTTCACAGAATTAGTGAGGGTATTCAGTGCAATACTGTAGTGTCAAATTTGACAAATGTATTCTGAAAGAGACAGCATTATATTGACTTCAGAAAAGCATAGCATTCTTTAGTAAAATTAAGTTACTATATTGCTGTCTCTAGGCACAGGTTATAGTAAAGCTGTCTGATGAACCTACCACCTAGCTTTTAAACAATGTTTTTTTTAAAAAGCAAAATATTTTGAGCCAAATCTGGGTGTGGGTATGCTATATACTTTGCTTGCATTTTGCTTCATAGAAGCACTTTTAGCTGACTCATATTTGGATACAATCTATCACATAAACCATTCTTGCTTTTGAAAATAAACATAGAAAAGGAGCCAGAAAATCCTGTTACTCCAAATCTATGAACTTTTTCTCCAAGAAGCGTATCATATACACCATGACCATATATTTTTGGAGATTGTTCTGTCTTCATAGAAATACAGATAGGATAAACTGCTCTCTGAATTTCTGCCTGTTCTAGTAGAGTAGAAGATGATCTTGGATGGATAGTCATCTAAAAGTTTATTGCCAGTATTAGGCACTGAGTCCTACTATTAGTGTCCTCTGTCTTGACTAGTATTCATGCTTTTTCTTGCCTCTTATCTTTATGAAATAACTAGAAAAGGGTTTGGAAGTTGTACATGTGATTAATTTCTGCTCATTTCCTTCAGTTTAGTAGAATCAGGACACTAGAATTTCAGAACCTTTCTATAGATCATCTTGATACTTTGCTGCTGCACTTAGCAAAAAAACCCGTTTGCTTTTAGGTACAAATAACCTGAGCTGTTTTGGTTGTTGTTTTGGTTTGTTTTCCACTAATGGCAAAAATGAAAGAGATCTTATTCTTGTTTGCTCTGCAGATAAGGAGCTGGTGTGTGAACGGACACTGAAGTACTTTCTGGGTATTGCAGGAAGAAAATGGGTAGTTAGTTATCAGTGTAAGTATAACTTGTTTTGGAGCTAAATGGTCTCTGCCCAGAGATCTCTTAATGTCTTGGCATCTATCTTTTGCAGAGTTAGATAAATAAATAAATGAACCCCAAACAAACAGCAATATCAAGGTTCTTTCCCTTCTAAATACTTTTCTTGCTTTCAAGTAGCCACACTGGATTGCTTCCCACTTAATTTAAATCTTTGAGATTCATGGCATTAGTTAGTGCAAAATTAATATTATTTTTAAAAAGTAAAAAAAAAACCCTTTAAGGCATTATACTGTATTCAGTTTCCCTTAGTACAAATACCTTCAGTTTAATATAGCAGTGGAAGAACAATTTTGCTGGATAAAATGACTTGTTCTGATCTCTTTATTTAGGGGTAATTCAGTCTTTTAAAGAGGGAAGGATACTGGATGAGGTAGGTCCTTAATCTTAAGAGTGAAATGTCAAATGTATAAGCAACGCTGTTACATTGATAGATCTATTGGTAGCCTCAGATATTGTCAAAATACTTAATAGGTGGAAATTTGGCTCTGAAAACTGGGATTCTAGTTTTACCAAATGAAGTGTTCCTACTAATATGGATGGATTACAGCAGAGCGGAAAGGATCTGTTGTTTGCTTAAGGAAATATAGGCCTGAAATTCTCAAATGCAGCACTATGTTTGTTATTAATCTATGCATTAAGTGAATTCTTTGGAATAAAATAGATGCTGAAAATCTAGAGGTTATGTACTGATAATTAATTTCTATCAAATGAGACTTTACTGATAAGTTAATTATAGTCTTAATTGTAAGGTTTCCAGTTCTGAAATCTGACAACTTCCTGTTCTGATGCAGAACTGTGAGAAGGAAAATGTTCTCAGTCTCTAACTCTGATTGCTTATTTATGTTCTATTCCAGGAGAGCTTTGAAGTTAGAGGAGATGTAATCAATGGGAGAAACCACCAAGGTCCTAAGAGGGCTAGACAGTCGCTGACTGAAAAGGTGTGAGCACATGAGGGATGAAAATCTTGTCCTGCTGTGACTGCTTGAAATATGTGGCTTTGCTAGCTGAGTATCTGGAACTTCTTCCAATTTTTCTACTGTTCTGTATGTACAGAGTTGTACAAACTAAACATTTTAGTCCATGAAAGGTGAGCTCTGTCAGCAGCAGAGCAGATGTGCTCAAGTGGCTAACTGTACTTAGATTGAAAGCTATCTTTTTATAACATTGGTATAGGAGAGCACAGGGTTGGGGGTTTTTTATTAAATTATTTTGTTTTGTAGGTTACAAAATTGCTTCAGATATACTTTGTGAAACAGTGACAGGTTGATAACCAGTCCTAGAAGTGCAGTGAAACCAGCACATTAAGTATGGTCCTTTAAAGACACTATATGTACTCTGTTAACGTGTTCCTTCTTTTCAGATCTTCAAAGACTTTGAGATCTGCTGCTATGGACCTTTCACTGATATGACTACAGGTTTGTCATTTTAGTGGAATTAAATGAACTCTTAGTATAAAACATATTTGGAGGGGGGTCGTGTACATTCACCAAAGTTTTATATTTGGCCTCTTCTTGGATGTTCTTGTATCTCTTACTCTGAAACTTTCAAAATACCTACATGAGGTATAGTGCAGGTGAAGGACTTCATCCAGTTCTATCTCCAGATAGAATGGAAATGGTGTTCTCTTCTATTTGGATGTTCTCAGAGAACTGCTCTGGCCATTTTGCTGTATTTCAAAAGCTTTCATCCAGTTTGTCTCTGATTCTCTAGCAATGAAGGAAAAGCATTAATATCCTGCTGTCTGGTAATTGCTTTAGATGCTATTGAATGCTTGTATTTGAGCATTTTTTCCCAAGTATCATTTTTGTAGCAGTTGACAAATCCTCGGTGTATCTTTTCTCTCTAGCAGCAGATGTTAAAAGTGAAACATGCGATAAAGCCAGAAGTTTGTTTACTTTGGGCAGGATAGCTTCTTTTTGTTAGTTTAAAACTGAATAAAGTATAGTAGATGTTTTGAAAATTTTCAGCTAAAAATTTTCTACTTAAAATGTTTGTACCTCTTTTCCCATTTTTGTGGCTTATTCAGCAGATACTTTCTGATTTGTCCAATATAACTTTATTTTTGACTGTGTGAAATATCCTCACATCTCTTGACATTTACAGTAATTACTACAGAGGCTGCAGTGCTTTCACCTGCTTCAGTAATCATCAGTTACAGCTCTTATACTTGAGAGACTTACTTATCTTCACTATCAATTCAACAAATTGGGAATTAAATACTTTGGCTACTCTTGTTAATGAGAGATAATCACAGTTCTAACTCTGGTTTTTAATTTTAATTTCATGTCTTACATCCTTATGAGAAGAGGAAATAAATTGTTAGTGACTTTCTCTTTGAGTTTTGGGCATGTGGTGTTTTGCTTTTTCAGGTTGTTTTGTTTTGTTTAGTCCTGACTAGAGGGTGAGGGAAGAGAGTGAGCAAGTGTTTCTCAGCAGCATAGAAAGTGAAAGGACTTGTTCTCCACTAAGGCTTACATTTCTTTCAAGTTATTATAGTTTATATTTTTGAATAAACACATCAGGGCATGGTATCAGTTTCGATGTGATATAAAACATGGCAGTAATAGACTGTTTATCTGATTTCTTCAGAACACCTAGAATGGATGGTGGAGCTCTGTGGTGCCTCTGTAGTGAAGCAACTTCATCTGTTCACACACAGAACAGTAAGTGTAGATGAATGTTACACTTCACATAGTGAACAGTCTATAGTTAGGTAACACACAAGATACTGAAAGGTTAGGTGGCCTTCACAGGCTTGTCACGGACTGATGCACGCAGGTATGTTGGAGAGAGCTGCCTGCACAGTAATGATGCCAAACTGCCTGGCAACAGTTCTTGTGTTCTAGGCGCTGGCCACTCTGTATTAGAAGACAGGCTAACTTGTAGTGGAAAACTGATCAGAGTACTCAGTGTAGGCCTGTAGGCCAGATAGCTAATCTCACTTGAAATCAGCACTGAGCCGCACTTCCCAGCACAGAAAGCCTTTAGTGCCTGCCTTAAGTTAGTCACAGCATTCCTGGAGAGAAGTCAGAGAAAAATCTTAGTAACTCGCATCTTTCTCCCTCTACTACTACTTAAAGTCCTCTCTGAAGTGATGCACTGAAGCAGAGTTAGCCCAGTTATTGCTCCCTGCAGATAGGTGTGAGAGTGATGTAATGACAAGACAGATAACAGTAGCATTTTTATTTTCTTATCTTGAAATCCTAGAATTCTACTGCTGTCGTGGTTGTGCAGCCAGATGCTTGGATGGAAAACACAGATTATAGAGGTAAAATGACACACTGTCATGAGCTGTTTCATGGTACATATTGAGTGTCTTTATCACCTCAGTCCTTTTAATAGTTAAATGTCAGAGAGGTTTGTAGAGGAACGTAAGTAAAATACTACTGCATCTGGAGATGGAGGTGTGTCTTGGAAGAAAAATCTGGAAGGACAAGGAATATTATCTCAAGAATCAGCAATGGAGTCTTAAAAGGTAGTCTGGCAGGCAAATCCTATTATTGGCTCAGTTGTCCTGCATATCATCAGCTTTACAGAAACTTTCCTAATTGGAGATCGTTTCTAAAAGGTGGGGAAGCATGTCCTTGGAGGACTATGAAGATCTAGGAGAAAGCCTCCGATGAGACAAGATTCTCTTGGTCTGGAAAGACTATCTAGCTACAAAGTGTTCACTGATACAGCTTTGCCTTTTTCTTTTTTTAAATCAAGATGCTCCAGAGAAACCATGAGATTTTTAAAGTGCAAGTGTTCCAGACTAACTTACTTTTAAATGAGATAGTGGGAGTTATGGGATGAATGGGAGCTAGTTAGGCTACAGTGGAGTTCAACAAAGAAATGAAGCAGAAGGATGACGTAAAAACAGCTGTTTCCACAGCACTGGGAAAATTAGAAAATAAAGAAAAATACCCTGAAATGGTGAAAAACAGTCTAGGAGCACTTCAGTAATTTTCTGTTGCTTCTCTCTTAATGACACTCATTGCTCATCACACACTCAGTACACTGAGCAGGCAGGAACTGTCACTGAGGTCCTAAATTAAGAGATAACAAGGACTGCACTCTTTACTTTTACTGTCTGTTCTGTGGTGTTCAAAACTTCCTGCCTGACCATTTACAAAACAGCTCTTCTTTTTTAGCAGCAATATTACCTGGATTGTTAAAAGGAGGAGTAGTGCCACATCACGGGTTTTAGACTCTTGGTTTTTTATCAAGGCCTTTAAAACAGCAAAGATAAAGCAAACAGCTTAATCTGAAAGCCACCAGTAAGCTCACCTGAAGCTTGCTTTGACTCACTGATAACGGTTTTATTGTTTGTGTCTTTGTCTTACAGCAATCCAGCAAAAGAACAATGTTGCCATGGTGACTCGAGAGTGGGTATTAGACAGTGTTGCTTGCTATGAGTGCCAGGAGTTGGGTGCTTACCTTGTGTCCTGAGGGTGATCTGCAGTTCTTTTTTCTATTGCTCAGAAATTCTCATCAGTGCTGATAGTTTGGTAATTATTTTAAGGACTGAGAATTTTTAAGTCACTTATGCAGAGATGATGTGCATGTCATGTTCTTGTTCAGAGTAAAATAACTACATTTTTATTTACAATAGTTACTTAAACAACATTGCCGTATAAAGATGGAATTACCCACTGTTCTTTAAAGAGTAACGTTTCTAGTTTCAAAATAGTCCTTTAAATTAACGTAAAACAAGCTTTAAAAGTCAGAAAATGTAGAACACTGCTTCCTCAGAAAAATGCAATGTATTATTCACCATTTCAGCGAGTTCCTGTTTATATACTTGAGGACATTTTGGAGACTGTCATTTAAAAAAAGCTCAGGGCTTGAATTAAGATGTACTTGTACTCCTGAGTAACCTCCATGTTTTCATTTTGCATAAATACATACCCTGAAAAAGGGTGTATACCAATACAGTGGGATGTTATTTTGTGATTACTAATGCATCAGCCTGGTTGCTTAGGCCATGGATTATAGTTGTGTTGCAATCTATACAAACAGCTCTCCTGTTGCATATATAAAAGTGCCAACTTGCCCTAACCAGGAAAATCATCCATAACTACAGCCCCTGAAAAGTCAGCACTTGATTCTCAACATAAACTAATCCTCAAAACCATGAGCCTATACCAGTGTTGTCAGTCTTATTTCTGAGAAGTGTATGTGGCACCTATGAAGAGATAATAAACAGATGCACTTTAGTGTCCCAGTGACCTGTGATAAGCCCTGTAAGAATCTGCTTCTAATAGTTCCTGCCTGCAAAAGGAGACTGCAAAGAAAATATATTGGTTTTTATGGAAGAAAATATGTTGCTTGTTTCTGTTGCCAAGCAATTCAACTTCATAAATAATTTTGTACTTTCAGAGCAGGAAGAGAACCTGTTTTCATAAAGTTGTTAAAAAAAAAATTGTAGCTAAGTTCAGAGAATTGTTCAGTGCTCAGATGCTGCTAGGTTGTCTTGGAAAGTTATAGAAAGTATGTTTATAAATATTGGAATGCTCAAAGGAAATAAAATTATTTTGGCAAGTATTTTACTTAATTGTTTAGCTCTTGTGTGAATCAGTCACTCTGTGCGATGAGGCGTATATGAAAAAGTATCTGAAGTCCAGCTGCCTGGAATGGGGGAAGGGAGACTTACTGGAGGAAGTAAAAAATGCAAATTAGAATCAGAATTGTAATTTCCATCCACCTGAGACGCAAATGTGTTATCAATTGTCTTGCAGTTGCCAAGTGGAGGCAAATGCAGCCTAAACAGGCATTGCTACTGGTAGTGCAAGTGCTGGAAGCTTTTCCTCAGTTGATGTACACTCCTGTTTTCTTCTCTGTGACAATATTCATAATTATGAAGGCGGCTGAACACAGCCTCACCCTCAGCTTGATGCTCCTCTTATCTCTAGAGCCCACATTGGGAGGGTTTTTTTGTTCGTTTGTTTTATAATCTACATTTCAAAAGGTAGCTGGGAGGGAATCACTAAATGCTGCCTGTTAGATGCAACTAAAAGGCCAAGCAAGGCTGGTTGACATCTGCCGTTGTGAAATTGTCCCTCAGATCTTGACACCAAGGTTGTCCTTTCTAGCAGGTAAGGTACTAGCTCCAGCTAGATAATTGTCTGTAGGAATGACACCTGTGACATTTCCCCTCTTCCTTGGAGGTGACTAGACTAGATCTGGGGAAATGCTGTTCCTAACAAAGTATCATCTGTGAACTTTTGTAGTGAGCTGCATCTCATTTAAGATTTTAATGAAGTGAAACAGTTTGAATAAACAAATAGTGAGGTAAAGGAAATACATGCTTCCAGAGAAGCAGACCGTTTAAGCCCAGCTATGGGAACCCATTTGACAGAGAGGTGCAGAACAGGAAGAAACTCAGCAGTAGGATTGAGCCTTCTGAGCTGGCAGAGCTGATGCTGAGGTGTTTTTCAAGTATTTACCAGGCAACGTTTGACAAAGGGCAGACTGATCCAATGTGAATGCAGTGAATCAGGGCAGCTATTTATACTACTGCAGGGATGCTGGGTCAACCATTTCCCACGAGCTCTTAATTCCTTTGTTCATTTTCTCCTATTCATAAGAACCTCTCCAGAAACTCTCAGGAGGTGTGTGGAGGCTTCCCCATCTGCTTGCGCTCTCACACATTTCTCATTCTTGGCTTGGAGGACTCTGATTCACTGAGGCTCTAGTTCTGAGGTAATCTCTTGGGGGAAATCATCAGTACTGGTGAGAGAAACACTTCAAACTGTTCAGAATTAGACAAACATAGATCAAAAGCTTATACTTTAGAGGAAGAGGAGTTGGTGCCCAAAGCCTCACCGTCAACCAAATACTGACAGATTCTCACTGTGGCTAGAAATGAGCGTATGTGAGGGAAATCTTCAAAGAATTTTCTGTACCCTGTCTCACCTGTGCTATAGATTGTGATTATTTGTCATGGCAGGGAACCAGAGTCTTTACTTGGACTGGAGGGCTTTGACATACAGGGAACTTCAGAGGCTGATGGTGTTTGTGTCCCTCTGTTTAAAGCATCAGGTCTGGCCTGTCTTCTTGAGGGTAGTCAAGGGCACTTGGTTCTTATGTCTAGTGCACCTGATCCTGTAGCCTATTAGGGTGCCCTTTTTCCTCACCAGGCTTTTTGCTCTAGATTAGCAGATGAAGGAAACCTATTTTCCCTTGTCCCAGGAAGAAAACTCATTGCTGAGTCCCTATAAAGGGTGCAGACTTCAGCCTGTTCAGTGTATCAAACAGTTCTGTACTTATTCCCGAGTGCAGGAAGGGGAGGGGGAAAGGGCTGCATTGTCTATACCCTTAGCTAAGCAACGAGACATGCATCTCTGCAAGTGTGTGCTGGCAATGCTAATCAAAGGGCTGCTGGCAAAGCCCTGCCCAGCAAACTCTGGTTTGTGGTAGCAGCTCATTATTTTGCTGATCATGCAGTTTTCTAAAAACCACTGACCCCTTCTTAATCTTAATTTGACTCTGGCAACCAGACTACAGGGGTTGTGGTTTCCCCTGCCACAGTCCCAGAGTAAGTACAAAGCTTTCTGCTGCTGTAAATGAAAACCAAGCAGCTGTCTGCCTAGAGAATCTGTCTAGGTGTGGGGAAAGCATAGATGGGTAAATGGGAAAAGACATGGACTTGTACCTGACCTCAGTCAGGTTGTGCAGGAGACTTTCTGGACGGGGAAGCAGACTTAACTGTGCAGAAACTTGGGAAATGGAGCCTGGCAGCATGTTCTTGCTGTGCCAGAGCAAAGCAAAACTGCAAGCTCCCTGAATACTCCCATTCTGTGGCACTGGGCTGTCCGGTCTTGCTGCTTGCTTCCTGCCACACCAGAGGGGTGTTGGTCTTCATAGTTAGATCTGTTTCACCTTCATTAATAGTCAAAGGCTCTTAGTCAACTGCAAAGCAGACTTGGGAAACTCCTGCCTCATGTGCACACCTTCTTTTAAATACTGTGAGAATTCAACATTTCCAGTCTATTTCCCCTTTGTCAGAGCCCTGTCTGTCTGTCTGTCTGTCGAACAGCAGTGTGTAATCAATTTGTGCACAAGATAAGCCCTGTCCAAAGGAGATCAGACCATTTAGCCGGTGAGCAAAGGGCAGAGCTGAGATGTGGAGCTTCCTGACACAACCCCTTGCAAAGTGGCAAAGCGCAGAGCAATCCCGAGTAAAAATGTTCCTTTGCAAAGCAGAGGGGCAGTGGCTGCTGAAAACAGGATGGTTTTTCTTAGCTTAAGGGAACCTGGCAACTTGGAGATTTAAAAATTGAAAATGTTTAACATAAAAGTGCACTAGTGCTCCAAAAAAGGCAAAATGCCTAAAAGAGGTGGAGCGACGATCATAAATGTTAAGCACAATAAATGGGAAGGATTAAGGCACTATGACTTTTATCTTGAGACCACACAGTTCCAAAGAAATAATTGTAACGTATTTTTATAAAATATATACACTTTGTCATGCAAAAATTGGAAAACTGGTATCCCACATAACAAGACTGTGATTTTTCCAGTAATAATTGGACTAATTAAAACAAACCTACAGTAATGCACGTAGCCAGAAGTCTATGGGCATCTGCTCATGCTACTGCCCATACTACTATAAAATGCATTATTAAATAACAAAATTTGGAGGTTGCAAGGTCAAATCAGAGCAAAATCTGTGAGGCTGATGATTTTGGAGCAAATGATCTCATTTCATTCCTTGAAGGGTGGAGATCTAAGTCTGGAAGTGGATATAAACATTACAAAATATACTGAAGGCAAATGCATTTTTGTACTGAAAGAACAGCATGCCTAAAACAGAAGTTCTGCAATAAGGAGCTGTGTGTGTCGTGTCAAAAGGGTGACTTACCTTTGGCTGTGTGTGTAATTATCAGTACTTACAGCAAACGTTCATTTCTAGACCCCTGTGGCTGCAGTTGCAACAGAATTTGACAGCCAGCACGCAGCGTAAGGAAACCAGAAAGCTGCTTGATTTCTGTAGAGCCAGTCAAACAACTGAAAGGCCACATCGACGCCCTGTAAATGCTCTTGCCTGATTGCCCATCCTCTACAGCTCCA